CTGTCCTGCCGCCAACAACCTCCTCCTGCAACCTCCTCCTCCAACCTCCTCCTCCAACCAGCCAACCTCGTCGGGCCCGACAGCCCTGCCCCTCCTCCAGCTCCTCCAACCTCCTCCAACCTCTTCCGACCTCCTTCTAACCCTCTTGCCCGGCTTGCAACCACCTTCCCACCTTCTCCCACTCTTCTTGCTACCTTCTTGTCCACCTTCCAACCCTCCCGTCCACCTTCCAACCCCCTTTGCCCACCTTCCACCCCCTTGCCCACCTCTCAGCCCTCCTGCCCACCTCGCCATGTCCGTCACCATCACCAGGAAGACCCTGAGGAGCAGCTCAGCCGTGCCCGGCCGGTCCTTCAGCTCCCACTCCTACACGGCCGGTCCCGGGGTGAGGATGAGCGCGGCTCCAGCCTTCAGCACCGGGGGGAGCCGCTACGGGCTCGGGCTGTGCCGGGGACCCCCCGTCCTGCCCGCCCCCGGGGGGGGCATCACGGCCGTCAGCATCAACCAGAGCCTCCTGACACCCCTGAATCTGGAGATCGACCCCAGCATCCAGCAGGTGCGCAGGGAGGAGAAGGAGCAGATCAAGACGCTCAACAACAAGTTCGCCTCCTTCATCGACAAGGTGGGGCCAGAACCTGGGGGGGGAGGGTGGGGACACCCCCGGGGTCCTCCTGGACCCTTCAGCCACACCCTGCGCCACTTGGGGACATTGAGACCTCCCTGGGGACCTCCTGAGTCCCTTGGGGAGCTCCTGGACCCTTCAGACAGACACTGAGCCCCTTGGGGACATTGAGACCCCCTCGGGAACATTCTGGTCCCCATGGGGATGTTCAGGCCTCCTTGGGGACCTCGTGACCCACTTGGAGATGTCCAGATCCTCTTGAGGACACCTTAGCCCCTTTGGGCACATTTAGCCACCTGTGGGGGACATTTTTGCCCCGTGGGGACATCCAGGGGACACCCTGATCCCTCTGGGCACATTTGCCTCTCCCTGGGCACATCCAGACACCCCTGGGGACACCCTGATCCCTCTGGGCACATCTGCCCCTCCCTGGGCACATCCAGACACCCTCGGGGACACTCTGATCCCTCTGGGCACATCTGCCCCTCCCTGGAGACATGCAGACACCCCCCAGGAGGTGCAGCTGGCCGTGGGGACACCCATGTCCCCTCCCACTGCTGGGGACATGGCAGCTGAGCTGGCAGGGAGGGTGTGGTGCTGGGGCAGGAGCCGGGGGGGGAGGGG